ATGTTTTTATTGTTACTGTCATTCATTAACCAACTGACTCACTTTGGTAATGTTACTTTGTATCTTTGGCTCCATTTAATTTCCTGTTCATATGGCAATGATTTTATGTCATTTTCTGTAATGATAATAATAATTCCTTTAGCATGACTGGATGGAAATTGTGTGTATTGTATTTTATTTTTATTGATAGAGTAGACAACTTATTTGTTCTCAGCAGTGTCTTGTGGAGGTGTTCTCACCTGGTAGCTGTTGTGATAGAACCTCAGTCCTGATCTCCCTCTACCTTCCACCCCTCCTCCTCACCTCCAGGGCAAGGTGGTCCCCTGGGACCAGGTGGTCCCCACGGGAATCATGCAGCCTTTCCTTAGAAGACTTTCTTTGGAGGTCAGGGTCTAGTTGCAGGTTGAGGATACCAGGGGCAGATGGTGCTAGGCTGGATGTTGGAGAGCTCCATCCATAGATACTCAGGACCACTGCTAGGACAGATAAGGTGACTCCCCAGGCTGAGATGGCCTAAACTGGCCGGTGATGGCAGGGCTCTTCTTTTTTGTTCCCCAGATTCATGAGCTTTCAAAGAGAATATGACCCATTCTTGGTTCAAATCGAACATTCTCAAACATCTCCATCTTAGGAAACCTTCCTTCTCTTTAAGAATACTCCAAAGAGTTACTCCAAAAAATTTTTTTTTTAAAATCTATTGTTATTTAAAGTCATAGTAATAAAAACTGAAAAATTTTTTTACAAATGGTTGTTAATTCATCTAAAATAATACTAATAATAAGCCTATTATGTGTTAGCACAGAAACACATTTTAATGACAAATGACTTTATTATCCCAGTAAAAAAAATTAACAAAAAAGAAAGGAATAAATGATGTTGCCTATTTGGAAATCTCCTGAGTGTATGTCTGTCTTAATAGAAAATAGCTGGACTCTCTGTTTTGTATTCTGTTGTGCTGTGTGGTTTTATTTGAAATACATGAACAGTATGTAGAAGGAAGGACTTTAATCCTCTTTTCAGATCATCATGGCTCTTGTCTCTAAGGTTCACAAAAGTTTGAAAAGTGGTAGTTTCTCAAAGGCCAGTTGCAATGTTGAACCCGAAACTGTGCCCATAACTTTCTTCATTGCATGTTATGCTAAAATGCCTTGGTCTGCATTACACTTTGAAATAAATCTGTTGCCATTATTTTGCTCCATCATGCTTTAGGCAGTGGGAAGCATTTCGTACTGTCTTGCATTGGTTAGGCTTTATCTCACCAAATTGGTCAGTTCTTACGAATATTATCATTTCCTTATTTGATATGAAAATCATGTTGTTCCATATCATCATCTCAATCTTACCAGAGAAGCTTGTAAGAATGGGAAGCTTGTTAGCTCACAGCAGCAGATGCATGTTTTCCAAAGTTCTCATTTCATTTGAAAGCTTGGGTTTTAACACTGGCAATACATTCTGCCAGTTATTTTCTTCGAAGTGATATGCTAACTTTGTTCTCTCTGTCTTTTTGTACTGGGAGTTGAACCCAGGGGTGCTCCACCATTGAGCTACATACAGCCTTCTTCTTCTCCTTCTTCTTCCTTCTCTCCCTCTCTTGCTCCTCCTTTTTTTTTTTTTTTTTAAGAAAAATCTTTGCCACATATCCAAGCCTGAGTGGTCATAGTTCATCTGTCAGTGGTTCTTTCAAATAGTAATGATGTTCTTCTATAAGAAAGTTGCAAATTCAGCTCGTAGCTCATGGTGTCAGTGCTTTCCCCGGAGGTGACCGTCCACACCCCTGTACGTGGTACTTTCCAGGTCCATATACTTCCTATTCATCCCAAAGTGGTCAAAAGATGTGTGCTGAGGATGCACACTTAATAAAATCGATCACCTTTTCTCCTTCTACAAGAACAATCTGTAGAGAAACTGGCATTCTTTTTCTTTCTGCATGTTTGTGGCAGCAAAAGCGTCAATGACAATAAAGGATATAATGAAGATTTGATTCATGAGTCACCAGCAGTTTTACCCTCTCATGCTTTTGCACCACAACCAGTTAAAAAGGCAAAAAAAAAAAGTCTGAATTTTATTATGAAAATAGTTTTCACCTCATGGATCCTTAAAAACACGTTAGGGACCTCGCATAGGGGTTCTATAAATCATGCTTTGAGAACTGCTGTTTTAAGTGCCAGATTCTTTCTCTGTGAATCAGAGGTCAGGAGCGATGTATCTTTATACATACATACATACATATATATATATTTTTTTTTGAGAGAGATTTTTTAATATTTATTTTTTAGTTTTTGGCGGACACAACATCTTTTTGTATGTGGTGCTGAGGATCGTATCCGGGCCTCACGCATGCCAGGCGAGCGCACTACCGCTTGAGCCACATCCCCAGCCCCAAGAGCGATGTATCTTTGGTGGTTGGCGCGGGAGCACTGGATACCATGATCTCCATGGAAATATTGACAGAATCCAGTGCTTTCTCTGCAAAGATGAGGAAATAGAGGTGTAAGGAGATTTGTTCTGTGTCACCCAGGTCGTCCGTGCTAGAGCTAGGATTCACTCTCAGGTCCCTTCCTGACTCACACACTGTAAGTATGTAAGCCTCTGCCCAATTAGGTCTCTCATCTAAATTGCTAATTTCTCTTTTCAGAGTATTGATCCGGCTCCTATTGTGCACCAGGTACAATGTTAGGTATTGATGATAGGAAATCAAATGACGTTTCCTGATCTTTAGATGGTCCCATGCAGATGGGTGCATCAAAGCTCACAGGCACAATTGGTGCTCAGACATGTAGTATTTGGAGCCTCAGAATCCAGAAGGGAAAAGTGTGATGACTAGACCCTGTGATTTTTCAACCGAGTCGGGAAGGAGGAAGGAAGGCGGCAGCCAGGGGAGGAAAGAAGCAGGAGGAGCAGAGGATGGAGGGGCAGGGGAGCTGGCTGGAGGGAGAGCTAGGTCATGGAGGCAGGCGTGTGAGCCAGGGACTTCACCGTGGCAGTGCGGGGAGCTGGCAAAGGACAGGCAGGAAGGAGCTGGTGCTTTCTCCAACCTCCAGATAGCCATGACACCAGGACAGACCTTTGACTCTCTAGGCCTTCTTGTCCCCAGCTACACCTTATGTCACATAGCTACATGCATGTTTGAGACCTGAATTCCTCATCCACCGTGAAGAACCTGGTGAAGGAACAATTTCCCATCACTTAAATTTTCTTGCTCTGAAATGTGCTGCGAAGGTTCTTTTATTTCGCCTCTGGACTCTTAGGAACCACAGCTTAGTAAGGTTGAACAGTGTAAGATCCACCATTTTCATAGTCTATTGCCTTGCAAGACTGAATCTAGAAGTGCTCCTGAGCAGTGGTTTCCAAATCTGGAGAGTCAAGAGGCAAGTGGTTAAAACCTACAGACAAACCTCCTGGGGCTCAGGAGTCCATGTGCTTATTCTACTCCCCAAGTTATTCTGATTCAGGCAACTCCGGCCTTGGTTTCCTGCCCTGGTATTTTGGGTATCACTAGTTGAAACTAACTAAAGAAGAACACATTTAGTGCCTTATTCCAACTAAATATTGATTCCTCACTCTCATGCCTATGAGTGCATGAATACCTACGTGGCTGATGTTTTCATGCTGTAAGAAATATGCTCCTCTCTGTGTGAACTGGAAACAGTTCTTACTTCATTTCTCACCATTGTTGCTTTTCCAAATCCCAATGTCTTCAAAATGTTTTCGGATAGTCATTTTCCTCCCCCTCCTCCTCCTCTTCCTCCTCCTCCTCCAGCTTCTCCTCCTCCTCCAGCTTCTCCTCCTCCTTTTCCTCCCCCTCCTCCTCCTCCTCTTCCTTCTTTTTGTTGGGGGGGGTACTGGGGATTGAACTCAGGGACACTCAACCACTGAACCACATCCCTAGCCCTATTTTGTATTTTATTTAGAGACAGGGTCTCACTGAGTTGCTTAGTGCCTTGCTTTTGCTGAGGCTGGCTTTGAACTCATGATCCTCCTTCCTCAGCTGCCTGAGCCACTGGGATTACAGGCATGTACCCCCATGCCAGGCAGATAGTAGTTTTCCTATCCTTCTCTTCTTCTTCACAGGAACTTTGCCATCTTATTAGAAACGTGGATTGGTCTATTTTTAAAGTAAATTCTTGCTGAACATTCTGTTTTACCAAAGTGGTTTGAATGAGTCTATGTATGTGTGCACTGATCCAGGGAGCTGTATGCCAAGGTCGTGAGGATCAGTGAAGGAGGCTAGAGATCCCTGTGTAGTGCTAACAGCCTGGGCGAGCCTGGCAGGGCAGCAACGTGCAGCACATAGACAAGCCCAAATAAATGTTTGACAGCAGAGTGCTTGCAGGAAAGAAGAGGCTGTCCAGCCTAGAGGGAGCGAATGGGTGGCCTCATCAGAGTGCTGGGGAAAGCCACAGAGTTTGATTCATTCCCAGGTGTCCTGGAGATCACATCATTCTCTCTGGAGTCCGGAGAACCCATGATGACAATGTCAGGTTTAAGCTGGGGTCTTGCCCATTGTGTCTTTATTTTATTCATAGGCACCAAAGGAGGGCACATGTTTTTGTCTGTTTTGTTTCACAAAGGACTACAGGCCCGTGGGGAGCCAGTAGAAGTTTCCTGTCCCAATATGACAGAGAGTACCCCACTTAATGGAGTGATAGTTTATGACACTCCTTGTCTGTCCCAGGGTTCCCACCTGGCTCTTCTGAACAGCTACATCTAATAATGCTTAGAAACCACTGGACCGAAACTAGAAATCTTACAGTTGGAGGAAAATTCAGAGAACTTCTAATCCATTGATTCTCAATTCTGGGCACAAGGTCCCCTAGACTGTTGGTCCATACTGGTGTTCAGGGAAGTCTTGTAGGAACACACATGAACTTCAGTGCCTCACGTGCCTTACGATTAGGAGTGTGTGGCTGTACCATGTCTTGCTGAGTCAATATATACATTCCTGAATTAAACTCCATTGCTGGGTGTTCATGGCACCTTGATTTGCCTTCCAGAGCTTCTGCAGAAGTTCAAGATGCCTTCATGACCTACACAGTGTATGATGACATCATCACCATTAAGCTCATCCAAGAGGCCTGCAAGGTTCTGGGTAAGCAGAGAAGGGCTCATTTTGGGTCCTAAGGGCTGCTGTAGCAAAATACAGGTGGCTGTCATTATTCGTGGTAGTTATGTTCTAGGAGATTGTGCAAATTCTGAATTAGTGAATACTGAATCAGTGCTTCTCAGTGAAATATAAAATACAGGGCTAGGTTCCTGAAAGTATTGAGTCACAATGTTTTTGTTAACTGATCAAGGTATAATATTAATTTATGTGTGCTTCTGTTTAAAGACACAATATTTAACATATATATATATACACACACATACATATACACACATACTAAGTATCTCCTTATGCCAACCATACTTGTATTTATCTGGAAATGGACCTGGAGTGCTGTGCAGGGTATTGAGGACCTTTCTCTCATCTTTTCTACCATGGCTCATTTTGTCTATCTTCCCAGACCCTCAAATGCCACAATAGGTTCATAAGGGGGTGCCAAGGACCTACATGTGCCTGGTCCTGCTAACAACGCACATATTCCCGGATGTTTATGTTATGTTATGTTTTCTCCCATAGGTTTATCAACAGGGATGGTTTATTTTATGAACCAGTTCACTCTCCACACCCAAAGGGAAGGAGGTACAGGACAAAAGCAAGTTTTAGCTTGATCTTTTTTTGCTTTAATGACCAAGGACAAGTTACTTCAGCCGTCATGGCTTTCTCATTGGTCAGATGAAAATAGTAACATTTACCTTTCAGAGATGTTTCAAGGTTTGAGACAATGTATGTGAAAATAACCAGCGTGATGTCTGGCACATAGTAGTTTCTTGAAAGACATGTCCTGTCACTCAGGGCCTGCAAGCTGGTTCCTGTGCAGCTCACAAAGGGTCAAGGAGCATCGACTCTGGTTTTAAGCTAGTTTTCATAATGCCTCTGGGAGCCCAGCAAACTGACTGCTGTCTTCAAGAGCAATTTGTGAGATGATTATCAGTTATAGCCACTCTGAGCCTTTGCAATAACCAGGCCTGCAGGTGTGCCTCAGAACCCACCTGGGAAAGCTAGTTAACCCTGAGTCCACAGGGACAGGTGGCTTCTCCAGAGCACAGCCGTGATGAGTAACATGCAACCTGCATTGGGTGAGGCATTGCACTTTTTTCCCTCTCTTTTGAATTTCAGAAAAATTCTCTAATTAAAAAGATTGGACCAGTTTTAACTCATGCACCTGGAACTGATCCATTGGAGGGCTTTCTCCTTGATTTTCACATGGTAATTTGACTGACATCTGCATCTCTTCTCATGTTCCGGGTTGTCTACTGTAGGCAGAATACCTTCCGGGGATTTGCATGCAGGAGAGGCTAAAAGTCTCTGCCAAGTCAGGAGGGGGAAGGCACTGAAGCTTAGGAAGCTGGGTTCATGTGACAATCAGAGTCCTTTTCCAGTAAGAGGCGGTCACCTACTTCTCTTGCCAACTTTGCCACCTGCTGCCCTGGCTCATCAGGCTGCTCTGATCTGTGGTGGAGCCATAGAGGGGCCAGAGGGGGCAATAAGGCCTGGCAAGATGATGGCGATTGGAGCTCGGAGGAATCCGGGCACCATTTGGTCATTAAAATAATTTCCGTCCAGATGTGTGGTAGCCCCTAGTCACTTGGCTTCTGCACCTTTCATAAAACGAGACAAGGTTGGGCTTGAAATTGGAGATAGTGAACAAGAGTGAAACAGGTTTATCCCTTCAGCTTCTGGAACTCACACTCCAAGAGCACCAGCACCTTGGGGACCCTCCTAATGCCAGTGGCCTCCCAGCAATAACAGCTGGACATCCCGCACCCTCTAAGATTCCAAAGAATCTTAGAGAGAGAGATTCTAGGAAAAGCTGGGCTGGAAACTGTGGGCGTTCATAGTACCTGTAACCCCATCCCTTTCTGCCCAGCCTGTTTTGTTTCCCCCACAACTGACAGTGTGGAGGTTTGTGCAGGACAAGGGCTAGCAACAAGCAGATGACATTAGGCTTTCGACATGGAGCCTTGAATCCAAGATGCATGTTCTTTAGAGTGCCACACTGTCCCCTCTGGGCTGGGAGTCAGGGGACCCGGGTTCTGGCCTCAGCTCTGCTTCCCAGGAGCACCTTCTCTCTCAACATGTAGTATCTGTCAGTCCCCTTGCTTGATGCCCCTGCCAAAGAGCTTCTGCTTTATTTTCTGAGACATTGCTTTCTTATACAATTTAAATTGTGTAACTATGATGTCACAGATGCTTTTCCAAACCACACAGTCAGACTTCTTGATCTTAAAGTGCACCACCCCACATAGTCGAGGCCAAGGTGCTGCTCCTCTGGGGACAATTCTGCAGGTCTTTGATTCCCAGTAAGGGCTGGTGACCCACAAGCAAGTTCAATTATGCCCAACTATACCCTCTCCTCTATGTTCTCTCCCTGGAAAGAATACAAAATAGTAGGTGAAAATTCTGCCACAAGAGATGGGTATTTCTGATCTGAAAAACTGGAGTTCTGGCTGAACTTAGAAAATAGAAAAGGGCAATAGATCTGGGAATGGATGGTAAAAATTAAGCCAGTTCTTTCTGGCTTTTATTTCAGGGGATCCCAGCAACGGGAAGAGATGGGTGTCTGTATGAAGCTGACTCAGTTTGGTTCCTAGCCCTCTGCCATAGGGCAGCTTGTTGTTATTCTAGAAGGAGCAGGAGGGGTTGGATTCTGCTCTGTCACACCAGCTGTGTGACTTTGGTCTAGAATTTCCTTGAGAGTTGATCTCCAAAAAAAGGAACAATGCCTCAAAGTGTAGTGGGAAGGAATGAATTAAATCAGAAAACAAAGGTAAGGTGTATTGTAATGTACAGGGTGACAGCAAATATGGAATTCAGCAAATACAAGCTGACCTTGAAACTGAAAGGAAGGCAGGGGCTATTTCTGTTTTGTATCTCTTAATGCTGTCTTTGAGAAGTAGACACAGGCTTTACTGTTCCCTTCAAATGGCCGTGATAAAAAATAACATTGTGAGTCCTTTGATCCCGGGTCAGCAAGCTACTTACAGCCAATGGGTTAAATCTGAGCCTCTGCCTGTTTTTGTAAATAAAGTCTTACTGTAACATAGTCATGTCCATTTTTGTTTTATAACGTATTGTCTATGCCCCTTATTGTAGTAAAAATGGTAGAGTTGAGCTGTCTAGAGACCACTGCTTGAACTGCAAGGCTTCAATTATTCTCTAATATTTTAAGTCTCCAGAAAGAAATGCTCTTTGTATCTTGTATCCTCCCAGTCTGCCTTTGTCATTGGGCATGCTTGTAGACACCGAGTGTGTGGTGGCACCTTTAGCAGAGAAGTGCACACCTGCTCTATGGGAATCATAGTCCCAACCCCAACAACACATTTAGAGTCAGCTGCAAGTTTATAGACCCATGTGTGGACTGACTTTCTACCCAAAGCCAAAGTATATCCCTGTGATTTCTTTCTGCCTCTCTTAGAATGTCAGAAACCTTTTCCTTGTTTATCTTCAAAACATGTTGGCCCATACCTAAAATGGCGGAACACATTTTTCAAATAAAAAGTTGGGGTTTGGAATCAGGATGCCCGTAAGAAGCCTGGGCCATGTGGTTTCTCTGTGTATATACAACTCTCATGATTTGGAGAGAGTGAGGCGCAGCCAAAGGAAGATTTCAAGAAGGGCATTTTACTGTTCAATAAAATATACTGGACAGTGGAGGCCGACTCCTCCCTTGGACAAAGAGAGAGCATGCTGCTTCTCCCCGGTGGGGGCTTTGCTCTCTCAGTGGGCCCCAGGATGCGGTTTCCCTACCTTGAAGCAATTGCTGGGACTTTTCCAGACCCCTCTGCCACTGCATAGCTCTGTGCTTTCTAATTAGCATAATTCAGGATGGGACCAGATGGCAGGTTGAGCGTTGCATAAGGAATTGTTCTGTATGTGAATAAGTGCCTACTTAGTGTGTAAGTGGGTTATTAGTGATCTGAAGTGACAAAATTCAAAACAACACCCAACAGCCATTTGGCACAGCTGTGTCTGTCTAGACTTTGCCTGCGAAGAAACCCGTAGTGAAGTATGTTTCAACAGTTAGCCTTCAGCAAATGCCAACAGCCCGTTTTTGCACTTACTTCTTCAAAAACAAGAGTAATGACTTAAAATTTACAAATTTAAAATATACCATGACCGAAAGCAGGCATTCTGACATTTACTCTTTACTATAGCCCTCTGAGGGTGGGACCAGTAACCCAGACTGGGCAACCAACTGAAAGTTTGGTTCCAATCCTGATTCCCAGGCCAGTTCTGAATCCCGCAGACGAGAGGAGATGTTGGCGATGTCGCTGGTGAGGGTTTTGGAATCAGGCGGACGTGGGTGGGCCTCCTGGCCATCTCCTCCCTTCATCGGGTCACCTGGTGCCAGTTCCCCTGGGGTAAAACAGCGGTGACGTCAGCGACCCCGCCCTCAAGCTTCATCCTTTGGGTAGTAAAGCTATGGAAAACTTTCTAAGACGTAGAGCGTGTTTCCCTGTCTTGTGGAACAGCATGTGCTTTTTGGGGGGGGACCTAGAAGGTCACATAACGAATAACTCCCATTGCCTATGTTTTGGAGGTGGGAGCTGGGGAGGGGTTATGAAACATCCAGCCCCATGCGGACCCTTTGCCCAGAAGGCTGAGTGTAGGTGGCAGTGATTTTGCTGCATTCAGCCAGCCACATGCCAGTCCTCATTGGGGCCTTAGCAGGTGGCCCCTCTCCCGCTGCCCTGGACGGTGCACCTCTGCTTTTTCCAGTCCGTGGAGCTGTAACCCAGCAAAAAATAAACATTTCCTGGCAACACCGAAGAGCCAAGCTTGTTAAGTCAGAAAGTTCAAGTTCATACATCATTCCAATTTAAAAGCCTGTTAGGAGGCTCTGCTCCGCTCCTGGGAAGCCAAGCCGAGATGCTTTGTGATGGTTATTTCCCTGCTAACAAAGAAGCCTTTCATTGAAACAAAATCAAAAACCACTTTTTAACCGAACTTTTAATACATATCCCAAAGTAGAGAGTCGTATACTG